GAGCTTCTGTATTCTATCGTCACTTGGACAGTGCCCTATAAACTGCTCCCAACTAACCAACAATGAGCTCCTTGCTTTGTGGATGGCAGTTCCCAGTTACAAGGTGAACGAACAACATCTTGTTTGGAAGGATGTCCCTTAACTGAGAAGGTAAAAACAAATCAGCTCAGTGAGCTGAATTGCATGCTGAAGAATTGAACAGTGGTAAATGCCCTTATGTTTGGGTTTCTCCTGACTTGTGGGCAGTGGCCCAATGACCTGGCCACATAGTCAGGCAGAAGGTCAATGAAAACCTGGCCTATCAAAGGGATGTCCATGAGGGCACAGCCCTATGGAAATTTGAGGGGTACATTAACATAGGACATGACAATGCTTATCAGAAGAGCCCCCTTCCAGGTTTGGGAGGTTACTGAAATTGAAAAGCAGATACCTCTGTGTGCTCACTTAATGTGGCCACCTGGGCCCATGAAATGAGTGGACATGGGGGTACTGCAGCAGAGATGGGCTGACATGTTCCTCTCAGGGACATATGCCAATAAGGACCATTCTGTTTGTAAGCAAGAGAGACACAGACTGCAGATGGCTACATGGCATATTCCCTGCTGGGAAAGCCCTGAACATAGTTGGCAAGAGAGACTGATGTTGATGTTCTGGGAGGCTACAAATGGGTCTTGACAGGAATAGACACTGATTCTGGACTGGGCTTTGCTTACTCAGCAGAAGCAAATGCTCAGAGTGCTATGAAAGAACCAGAACAGAAGATATTGCTCAGACCATATCAGATGGCAGACCATCATTTCTTCAGACCAGGGAACACACTTTACAGCCCATAATGTCCAACAATGGCCAGAGAGATATCCTCCTCAGAGTAATAATTTGATAGAGAAGTAGAACAGGCAATTGAAATTTGTCTAAAACATAATGGGACATAAAAGTATGAAAGACTAGCTTACATGCCTGCACCAGTGTGTGCTCACACTCAGCATACATGGGACTAAAGGAGTGTCCCCACTAGATTTTCCGCTGTTCCCCTGGTAGCTCTGGGGAAGAAGAGGTGGGGAAGGATGGTAGTATGACTGTGCAGTTTTTGCCAAGGGAGGAGTACACTGGTATAATGACTATATATTTTTTCTTTTTTCCCTATATCACATCAACTTTTTTTCCTCGACCTGATGCAATGGTCCTAGGACCATATCTTGCAACTACAAGTGTTGGAAGCAAGGATGGTTCCTGTGCAAGAAACTATAACTATGCTTTTAAACCTTATGTCAGAATTCCTAAGGACCTGATCGGGGTGGGTCGTGCCTTCACCCCATCTGGAAAAATTGCAGTTAACAGTTGAATGCAGGGGCCGGCCTGTGGCTCACTTGGGAGAGTGCGGTGCTGATAACACCAAGGCCACGGGTTCAGATCCCATATAGGGATGGCTGGTTTGCTCACTGGGTGAGCGTGGTGCTGACAACACCAAGTCAAGGGTTAAGGTCCCCTTACCGGTCATCTTTTAAAAAAAAAAAAACAGTTGAATGCAGATATACTGCCGGGTCTCTACCCTCAGCCTCTTCTCTACCCTCAACCCTGTAAAAACAGTCCACTAGTTCTGCAAATATGTAATATTACCCTATCTCAATGGGAGTGGACTGCGGGGGAGGTACTTGTTGCTAGACTAGCATTGCTGCCTGCAACCTAGACAAGCACAGTGGCCAAACCCAATGTTTCGTCCAAAGGTGGAAACATTTGGGTATAAATGAAGAGAAGAAACAATAGTAGCTGAGTGTAAAAGAATGAATAATGGAAATCCAATATTGTATTAATACCTCCCGAGAGGCTCAGAGCAAGAGATGATATCATCTCTTAGCTCAATTTTACCAGATGCCTGAAAGGGCAAAGCTATATATTTGCTGAGACTACTTTTGCTTTTGGAACTTGACAAGATCAAATGGAAAGTTGCAAACCTGAGTGGCCTCACCCTGGGGGAAATATTTATACAATATGATGGACTGAATTATTAATAACCAAATAAGATTCTAGTAATGTGCCAGTATCTTTTGAGTTGAATATCGTTTTGCTGTAACGGATCCATCTTTGAAAACCAGGGGGTAGCCTGTGATACTATGAGTGGGGGTGGGTGGGTGGGTGTGGGGATGGGTGTGTGTGTGTGTATGTTATCTTTTTTTTTTTTTTTGGTCCATGGTTCCTGGCTCCCCCAGGCAGAACTCTAATCTTCCCCTGCCTTTCTGTGTTAGAGCTGGCCATAAAGAAATCCTCTGTTCTACCTTATGTGACTGTAGGTGATAAGACCCCCCATTCCAGGAGGGGTCCTGTGCATACCTAGGAGGAAGGAATGCTGCACAGAGAGGCCAAGAAGAATCTGAACAAACAGGTTTTGCTGGGTTTCCGCGCTCAGTCTACTAGCGTTAGATCATACCCTTTTTGTCCAACAGGAGGAAGGAATGCTGCACAGAGAGGCCAAGAAGAATCTGAACAGACAGGTTTTGCTGGGTTTCCGCGCTCAGTCTACTAGCGTTAGATCATACCCTTTTTGTCCAATCACATTTCTACACGATTGTCCATGCTTATGTAATGAAGCTTCCATAAAAATCCAAAAGGACAGGGTTTGGAGAGCTTCTGGATAGCTGAACACATAGTGGTTCCTGGAGGGTGGCGTGCCTGGGGAGGGCATGGAATCTCCACGACTTTTCCCCCTGTGCATCTCTTCATCTGTATCCTTTGTAACATCCTTTATAATAAAGCAGTAAATGTGTTTCCTTAAGTTCTGTGAGCCACTCTAGCAAATTAATCGAATCCAAGGAGAGGGTGGTGGGAACCCTGATTTAAAGCCAGTAGGTCAAAAGCACAGGAAAAATAACCTGGGGCTTGTAATTGGCACCTGAAGGGGGAAGGGGGCGCAGTTTGGGTCTGAGCCCTCAGCCTGTAGGATCTGATGCTATCTCCAGGTAGACAGAGTTAGAATTGAATGCTGGAAATAGACCTATTTCCCTCTCCCCGTGCATACCAGAGGTCCTCCTCCTCACTGGGAACCTACCCCTGGCCAAGGTAGTTACCCAAGCAAAGGCACGTCTCCTTTAAGACAAATGGAGAACTGTAGGAAGCAGGAGCCCAGAGTAAATTAATTAGCATGTCAATAGGGTTAGCACCCAGATGTAAACTACTCTGGCACCAGGAGGTGCCGGGAGAGTAACCAGTAAGTTGACTTATCTACTGAGCCAGATCTCCCGCGAACTCTGAGTGACGTGAGGGTCTATGCATAAGCATGCAAATGATTTATACCTCCTTTGATCTGTACACTATATAACTGTTGATTTCTAGCTGACCGGTCCCCATCAGCACCTCCCGTAAGTCTAATAAACCGATGTCTCTATTGCAATATTGGGTGAGGTTCTTTGGAGTACTTCGCGAGTGCTCTTTCAGATTAGGGGCTCCCACGATACAGATACCCGGCTGGTGTCTACTGCAGAATTTTTGGTGGGGGAAAAGAAACCACACATTTGGTAACATTAGTCTTCTGAGTTGATTGTTGCGGAGTCAGAGTATAGGAAAAACACTTTGGCTGGGTTTTTTCCCTATACATACTCATGAGCTAGTGCCCCCCCCCAAAACCCAAAGCTACATAGATTTGATGCATCAAAGTAAACAACACAACCACTTTAGTTCCCTAGCCTACTGAATGCTGTAGCCATACATGTAAATAAGATGAGCCTGTGTGCCTCTCAAGGACAAATGACCCACCTTTTTCACTTAAGTGAAAGGGGGTTCTGCTCCGAGACCTCTCCCTCCACCCGCTTAGTTCTTTCTGGTACAACACAGGGTCACAGCCGAGCAGCGCCGCCCCTGCGTGATCACCTAGGCCCGTCTGTTATACGACCTGCTAAAGATCAGTACGGAGGCGGAGACCAGTGATACCTCCAGGACGGCCCGCAGCCCCTGTTCTGGTACCAGCGGCTGCGGGATCGCGACGGCTTCGCGAGTAAGACTAGAAGACACTTCTTCCGTGACTCCTCCTATAACGAGACCTTGACCTGCTCCTTCTCCGGGGCGGCTCTGACTCCAGAACTACGATCTATTGGAGACAACGACCCGGACAGCTTCTGGAAGAGGGGACGAGCCCGGCCACAAGTCGTTCACGTCACTAAGACATCTGTTGCTTCCGGCTTCTTCCCTTCCTTCTCTTCGATAAGGGTCACTTCTGAAAACCCAGGCTATCCCTTAAACGGTGGTTCTCAACCGGGGTAGTTTTCCCCAGGAGGAGATATTTGGCAAAGTCTGGAGATGTTTTTGTTGTCACAACTGGGGAGCCACTTGTGGGGGAGCATCCAGTAAGTAGAGGCCAGGGATGCAGCTAAACATCCTACAATGCACAGGACAGAAATAGCTGGCCCACAATGTCAGCAGTGCGAAGCTAGGAAACCCTGCCTTAAAACAAGCGGCAAAGAAAGGTGAAGTCCCGGAAGTGGGTGACGGCATGGGGACTGCGACACAGTTCCCCGCACCTCCAAACCGAAACAGGAAGTCCCCGCCTCCCGGGACTAGGCCCGCCCCTCTGTGGGAGGTGCAGCTGCGACACAGGTGGAGCCAGGATCCGAGAAATTAAACAATTGAAAACCCTGTGAGGCGGCGAAGTCGGACGCACCTTTCGCACCTGGCGAGAGCTGGGATTTTCCCTGCCACCCACACCTGAGATAGCTGCGGGACCGACCCCAACACTAGAAAACTGACCACCGCACTCAAGAGGAATAAAAAGGCCCAACGAACACCTAACTTTCGAAAGCTTAAGACAAAGAGCGATTTCTCACACCCACCCTTAACGGGCGTACTCAAAACTAGTATCTCTTAAAGTAGACACGAACTGAGCAGGAAAGCCACGAAGCGCCGCCTGAGGCATGCGCAGACTCGTCAGCGCGGTGGGCGTGGCTCCCTTCGGTGCGCACCGCTGCCCTGGCTCCTCTCGCCCCCGCGCCCCGCCCTTCGCCCCGTCCCCGCATGCGCGACGGAGTCCCGGGGGCGGTGCTGCTACATCCGGGTGTCTGGCGTCTTGTAGCTGTTTTGTTTTCTTGGCTGGAACTAGGAGGAGGGTCAGGCGGTCCGGCGCCGCGCGACACCAGGCTCCGAACCGACTGCACGGGTGGGACTGAACGTAAGTGCCTGGCGGGGAGTGGGGGGAGGGGAGGAACGGCCGCAGGATGCATCGGGCTCAGACCCGGGATTCTGACGGGCTGACGCCGACAGAGTCGCTGCTTCCACGTTCCAGGAAGCTGCAGATTCGGGCTGTGCCTCAGTGGACCCTGTCTGGCCACTTCCTCCTGTCCTATGTCCGGCGGCGGGAGAGGGTGACGGCGTCCACACCCCGCCAGGCTGGGGGACTAGTCGGGAGGTGGAGAGGGGCCCGCGCCCCTCCCCGGGACATCACAGGATCCTTGGAAATCATCTCGTCGTCCTACTTTAGAACTGGACAAGCTGAGACCCCGGGAGGGACTGTAACCCGGCTGGGAGGTGGCCGAGCTAGAACTAGTTCCCGGCTCTTCTAAGTTCCAGTCCACTTTTGAAACCTAAAATGTCCAGTGTGGAGGGCGGAGTTTGGTCTTGAGGGTGCCAGTAATCCATGCAAGGAAAAATGGATTCGGGGCTGGGCCTTTGGTTTTCACTGAGAATACCACACACGGGATTGCTGTTCCTCCCAGGGAAGAATAAAATGAGTGCATTTTCAAAACTGAACTTGTCCCAAAGGCATGTTCGCACTGCTTATAACCATAGTTTTTAATATTCAACTTTTAAGAGGGACGTTAAAAATCGGAGTCATTGCTCTTTTTAGGGTGTCATGTTTGGGGGACAACTTTATCTGCTGGCTACAAAGTAACTTAATGTGCGGGTCCAGTTCGCTGTGTGAGCTTGGGTGTTTCTTGATTATTAGCAGGTAGTACGTAATTCAGGCTTTCTCATACTCTGAAATAGAGATAGTATGGATAAGTCTCAGACCAGGTCACAGCCTAGAGGAATGTTTTATGTATTTTGTGTAAGACAGTTTAGGTCGGCTATGGTAATTTAAATAGCATTGGATTTTTTGTGTCTAAGTTATTATTAACCTCAATCCTGTGCTTTCTTTTGGCTGATCTGTTAGAAACATTATTATTAAATTATCATTAATATTAAAATATTAATATAAATATTAAAGTAAAAAGGGTGTTCTTTACATTAAAATGACACTGAAAAGCAGGCTTCGAGAAAGAAAATATAATGAAAGGAAGTAATGTGGGTAGAGGTAAAACCTGCAATGCAGTGTTTAACTTCTTAATCTGGGTGTGAAGAAACACAAGTCCTATGATAAAAATGTAAATTTCTAAAAGAAAGAGTTTTCTTCTGAATCCATGCTTTAACTCAGAGCCAAAATGTATCACTTGTCTCTCCACTCTGTTAGTACTCCTGGACTGTAAATAACGAAATCATATAATAACTTAGTTTGGAATTTAAATGATACAAAAGAGCTCTTCTGGGTTAATAATCATACTTGGTGATTAAAAAGATCATTTAAACTAATTTAATAACCTACTTGGAAATTAGTTTGGAATTTAAATGATACAAAAGAGCTCTTCTGGATTAATAATCATACTTGGTGATTAAAAAGATCATTTAAACTAATTTAATAACCTACTTGGAAACAATAGGATGTGACAGATTTCAGGAGCAGGTCAACCAGTGAGTAATTTTGCAATATTTGGATATCCATCTTTCTTCATATTACTTAAATATAGCAGATACATCTCTTTTGGTGGGGGGGCGAGGGGGGGCACAGCTGGCCTGTATGGGGATCTGAACCTTGTTGGTACATCACTATGCTCTAACCAACTAAGAAACCGGCCAGCCCTTCAAAACCCATCCTTTAAATTTAAATATAAAGAACGCTAAATAAATCCAAATTTTGTTTTCCAAAGTTATGATGTGGAAATTCATCAAAAGCTAAAACAAATATTCTGAAAAACTATGTGGAGTCAAAATAAAGCATTTATAATTTCATTTTTTATTTAGTTATTCCTGAAATGTTAATTATTTTCCAGGGACATAAGTTAGATTTGAAGCAAGTAAATGGACGCACTTTATTTAGTTGTTTGTTTGTTTTTAAGTGACCTGAAAAAATGTCTGGATTTCTAGAAGGCTTGAGATGCTCAGAATGCATTGATTGGGGGGAAAAGCGCAATACTATTGCTTCCATTGCTGCTGGTGTTCTAGTAAGTATCACTGATAATTTGGACCTTTTATTACTTTGGTGTGTTTGTGTTTATGTGTTTTGAATTTTGTGTAATGTTTTAAAATATGAATTATTTTATCTTTGACCGAAGCATTTATTTTAATAAATGTTAATATTTTGTTTTATGGGAGGTTTAGTTTTTCATTCCATTTTAAGAGTTAGGATTATGGTTTGAAAGTTGAGGTTATGGTTTGAAATTTGACCCTAGCCTTAACCCTAACCCTAAGATTGGTTGGATTATTTTAACTGCATGGCAAAAATGGCATAATCAAACGGTGTATATTTACTCATTATAAGGAAGTGTTTAAGAAACAATTAGGTCAAAACCAGTCGAGAGATATGATTACATTTCTCCATAATCCAAAATTAACTTTCTTCTCAGTTTCATAAAAAACAAATAACAGGATACTCATTAAAATATATTTCTTTGAAATAATTTACAAAATAAAGTTCTTATTTACATTGCAAATCCCTCAAGGGATCTAGTATTTGTGTTTTATGATCTTATGGTCTTATATGCTCTAAAGAGTAAATTTTAAGTAAATGAACAAAAGTCTTTGCCTAGTCTCTGAAATTTATAATCTATGAAAACAAGTATCCCATATTTTTCCAAAGTAATGGAAAAAATTATACTACTATAGAAATTCTGCTCTTATAAGTATTTTTTAAAAGCTTTAAATTTTAGTTTATGAAGAAAATATCTTGAATACATTGAGCTGAGGGTAAAAAAAAAATGAACAAGTATGCTAGCCAGTAAAATGCCATTAATATACTATGGATCTGTCAATAACCCAATAAAAGTAATTTCATTAGCCTAAATTAGTTATTTTTAAATAATTGCCGGAAGATGACATTTCCCAGAGCTAACTGGGTCAGGGTTGTGACTGGGAGTGGGAAAGGGAGTTACTTTCAGAACCTTCTAAGCTACTTCTCAGAATTTAATTTCATTTTATTGTAAGTTTCTGCTCAGATGATTAAAAATGTTTGTGCAGTTTTGTTTTTTTCATTATATATTTGCACTTGATAATATCCAAAACCAATTTCAATTAGATAAATTATAATTAGGTGTTTAAATTGAATTTAAAATCACACCTGAAACCATCAATAGTGTGTACTATAATTCATCAGAAGACAGAACTGCAGAGCTATTATTTCACAACACCAAGAAGATAGCTAAAATTCTATCAATAATAATTATTTCTCATATTAATTTGGATAATTCTTTTCTTCATGTTTGATACCTTTTGGGAGGTTTATAATATATCAGCAACAGGGCATTTCTGTCACTTGGAATCTGAGTCATTTTTTTTCCTTTTTCCTGCCACAAGGTATTGTAACTTGTTTCTAGTTCACCAAATTAGATTACAGACTATTATGACAATATAAAATAATAATTGAAGTAGGTTTAGAAAAGAAGTTCATGTTAATAAATATTATTTGGTGTCAGATTCAAGGGTACCTAATATTTAATTAGCTATTAAGCCATATAAGAAAACTGGAACGTTTAAGAAAATTTTGAAATTTGAACCTTGTATTCTTTTCTCCAGTAACATAGGATAACATTTCTCGTTGGTATCACCTTTGTTTGTTCATTCGTTTGTTTGTTTCAGTTTTTTACAGGCTGGTGGATTATCATAGATGCAGCTGTTATTTATCCCACTATGGAAGAGTTCAACCACTCATACCATGCCTGTGGTGTTATAGCAACCATAGCCTTCCTAATGTAAGTATCAGCATTATTGACACTACTTACATAGATTGTCATAAGATAAAAAAATGTTTTACATATAGTTGCTTAGATTTAAAATTTTTAAATGTTATCAAATTAACATAATGGACGTGATTTAAAAGTCAAATAGGGGGCCGGCCCGGTGGCGCACTGGATAGTGCGCCGCTTGGGAAGCGCGGCGGCACTCCCGTCCGAGGGTTCGGATCCCTCTGATCCCCGTACTGGCCAGCCACCAAAAAAGTTTTTGAAATGAAAAAAATAAATAAAAGTCAAATGGTGGAGAAGGACTTATAAAGAAAAGCAACAGTCCTCTTTTCCATTCTTTCCACATCTCCTCTCCCATTTCTGTCTTCTGGTTCCTCTCAGCCATTCTTTTATTTCTGTACATCCAGTTTAAACTTTATATTTATAAATGTAAAGTTTATAAATTAAAGTTTATAACTTTACATTTAGGTCAGGAAACATGTACTTTGTCTAAGGGATTATTCATTCTTCCAACAAATATTTATTCAGTTTTTATATTCCAGGCTCTGCTCTAGGTGTAGGAGATATAGTAGTGAGTTAAACAGGGAAAAATCCATGCCTTTCTAGAATTTATACTTTACTGAGTGAGGCAGGCAGTAACTAAAGAGAAATTGAATATATAGTATGTTAGATAATGATAAGTGCAAAGGAGAAAAAATAAAGTATAGGAGGATCATATGAGATGTCAACAGGAAGTGTAGAAATTTTAAGTAGAGTCAAAGGAGAGGCTCACTAAGAAAGTGGTTTTGAGTAAAGACTTGAAGAAAATGAAGGAGCTAACCATGGGGATATATAAGAGAGATCATTCCAGGCAGATGTAACAGCAAGTATAAAGGCTCAATGGCAAGACGAGCATGGCTGGAGTAGTATCATCAAGGAAAAGGGGAAGTGGTGTGGTCAGAAAGATGGTGGAGAGGGGCACGTGGTATAGGGCCTTATAAAGCATTATAAGTACTTTGCTTTCATTGTGAGTGTAATAGAAGCCATTGGAGGGTTTTGAGTAGAGGAATGATGTGACCTGACTTAGATTTTAATAGTAGCATTCCTGCTGAAAAATTTTTAAAAACATATAAACAAAATTCACTGCAGCCAAACAGTGTATTATGATAATAGTTTCAATACTGTGACCTCATGCTTCTCGAATTTTTCAAATGTATTTTGAAAGTATTTTTCTTGCATACTACCATTTTTTCAAATTCATACTATATTTTAGTTTGCTTCATACTTGTACTATGCCTTCTTTAGTATTCTTTATTTTTTTCTGTAGTTTTTGGTTGCCTTTTTTTTTCCTTGTTGACAGAGATAATGTACGTTTTTTTATACGTGTGTGTGTGCGCGTGCATGCGTGTGTGGCTGGCCAGTATGGGGATCCAAACCCTTCACCTTGGTGTTATACCCTATGTTTTCTTTAGGACCCGTTTCATTCTTCTTGAATGCTGTTCTAATTTGGATGATTGCTTGCTATGTGGGCTGTAATAGCCTCATTCAGCTTTTTGCTTTCCTTATAGTTTCTAGCTGCCTTTTCTCTCTTGTCTTGCATTTTCTGCCATTATCCCGTCCTTAGTTTTTCCCAAATTCTCAACGATATTCTTTATTATATTAGAGCCCTCTTTGTTCTGGAGGTCTCCACCCCAGAAATGCATATCCATCTGTTTCAATATGAATTGATTACTATGTAAGCCTGCTGCAGATCTGTCACCATGTGCCTTCCTTGTTTATCAGTGTTGGATTCACTTTTTTTCTCCAGTTTCCACATCTTCATCTTTCTTTCTTCATCTTTTCATACTCATTTTGCTGGGCCCTGTCTTCAAATTACTCTAAGAAATAGTACAGGAAGATAAAATCCCTGACCCTTGTTGATCTGAAAGAGTCTTTATTTTCCCCTCGTGCTTCATTCATAGCTTGGTTGGGTGTAGAATTCTAAGTTAAATGTCATTTTACCTCAGAACTTTGAGTCATTGCTCTGTTGTCTTCTGGCATCCAGTGTTGTTGATGAGCATCTAATGCTAATCTGACTTTCATCCCTCACTGTGCTCATTGCAAAGATTCACATATTACCTTTGCTCTGGGAGATTTTCTTGGATTATGTCTTTGTTAATAACACTCCGATTGCTCTTTCTGGCACTCCTATTGGATATTGCATTTCTTAGATCAATCCTTAGAAAGTCCTTTAATAGGAATAGAACTGGAGGTTTCCCACCTCCAGCCCCCAAGTCCTCTTTTTGACCCCGACCACAGTGACTCCTCTTATTCCACACCCCTGACCAGCCCATCATGCTGCCATCAGCCAGCTTGTCCTTGGGATTGCCTGGGACTAGGCAGTAAGCTGTTTGCTTCAAATTGGGAGTGGAGGGAATTAGAGAAACCTTAGGCTACTTTGTAGATGTTGGGGACCACAGGCTCTTAGCCTAAAGCTTTAGGAGGTAGATATTAGGTGGCTCCTGCTGTCTGTGTTCTAAATTGCCTCTGAAGAGGAGTCTGGGTGGGTTAAAGAGGGACCACCAAGGGGGTGGGGGAAGCAGCTCTTGGAGTCAAGATCCTGTGGTCAGGCTTACATCCTTGAGCCTCGAGTGCTCTCAGCTTGACTTGGGGACCCTCGGGCTTTGAGGTGATGGGATCTCAGAGTCTCTTTACAGACAACCTAGTGGGTGTCTTCTTCCTGAGGGTAGGTAGGCATCCCATATCCAGTGCAATCCAGTGAGGCAGAGAGAAGAAGTCCATCCTGGTGGACCCTAGGAAGCCCCCAAGATAATCCAGGGTTCTGCAGGTAAAGGACTAGATCAGGAACACTGTGATGGACCCTGATTCTCCCCCTTCCACTCAACCCTAACTCCCCCTTTGGAGTGCCCAGGCTTTGTTGTCACAGGCTGTGTCTTGCACAAGGACAACCCAACAAGGAGGCAAGTGGTGCAGTGAGATCCAGCCCATGGTCCTTGCATTCAGCTGGGCATCCACAGGGCTGCATCAGTCAGTCCCTTTCTCTGAGTCTCACAGAGGTGTTGTGTGGGTTTGTGAGAGTCCCAAATCTGGTTCTCTCCCTCTGTTCTCTAACACTAACTGTGCTTGGCCTTCTCTCCCAATCTCCCCTCATCTGTCCCCTGCCTCCTTTTTTCCACCACCTCCCTCCCCTGTAATCTGCCTCCTACATCCCTGTTAACTCCCCCATGCCCCTGCTCTTCCAGCCTACTGGGAAACCTCCACCTTCACCTTGACTATCTCTCCAACCTGCTCTTCCAGAGTGTTCCCTGCCCCACTCCCTGACCCCTCACCACTGATGATCCCAGCTGGCCTCCAGAGTTTCCCAGCCCAGGCCCTGGCCCATGGAAGTATACGCTGGTGCTTGCAGAAGTTGGAGGTGGTGTTGAAATCGCAGAGTGTGCAGCAGAAGGGGCGCTTGCCTGTGTGGCTGCAGATGTGGCTGCTCAGCACTGAGGGCTGGGCAAAGCCCTTGCTGCGGATCCAACAGTGCTATGGCCACTGGCTGTGTGCTCCCACTGGTGGCCCCACATGTCTGAGGAGCTGTGGATCTGCTTGGCGCTGAACGTGGAGGCAAAAGTCTTCCCCACTGCTGCATCTGCTGCCATCACTTCTGCCCCGGGCGGAAGGGGCAGCAGTAGGATTGGTCTCCCATGTGCACGCAGTGGTGGGCACAGAGGCTGGTGGGACCCTGACAACTGCTGCTGCACATGTGACACTGCCTGCCTCCCTCAGACCCGGCCAGGTGGCCACATTCTTGGAACAGCAGCTTGAAAAGCAGCTGGGCACAAGGCACAGTGAAAAGAGCCTGGCTGCGGGGTGACAACTGCTGCTGCACATGTGACACTGCCTGCCTCCCTCAGACCCGGCCAGGTGGCCACATTCGTGGAACAGCAGCTTGAAAAGCAGCTGGGCACAAGGCACAGTGAAAAGAGCCTGGCTGCGGGGGCTCATGTACCAATGTGGTGTCTGTCACCTTCACCACCTGGATCTCGATGAGGTTACCTGGGGGCATGGTGGAGCAGCTGTCATCAGGCACCAGTCCTGGGGCAGCAGCTCCCTGGATTGCAACTCCAGGTTTGCAACTCTGGGGTTGGTAGGCTCCAGGCTCATGGCAGTGGTCTTGTCAATCATCTGTGTCATGTTGTCTTAGAATTCCCATCTCTGCCTTTTTGTTCTGCATTCCAGGATGTCACCTCAACTTATCTTCCAGTCCATTGACTTTTTATTTCAGTTCTCATGTTTTAATTTCCAAGGAATTTTTCTTGTTTCAAGTGCCTTTATGTTTCCTTAGTTATGAGTGCTTGCTTTAGAGATCAACTGTTTATCTGGTTCTTTCTTTGACATGCTGCAGGCCTTTCCTCAGATGTCTGGTGATCCTTGGTTGTTCATGCATAGTTAAGAAAGATTCAGTGAGAGGCTGAATGAAAGCCCTAGGTCAGGGCTTCAGTTTAGGATAAGTGGGCAAGGAGCTAGTTTTCAGGCTCCAGGCCTCCCAAATATCTATCAGTACTCTCACTAGCTGCTATAAATCTTCTCAGGTAGGTATTTCAATTACTTAAAACTCCCATTTTTTTTTTTTTTAACTTGCCTAAAGAGGGTGAACAGTCACCAATATTATAGGCCAGAAAGGGTTGGCAAATTATGGTCAGGCCTATTTTGTAAATCAAGTTTTATTGGAATGCAGCCATGCCCATTCAGTTACATATTGTCTATGGCTGCTTACTTGTGACAGTGTGACAAAGACTATATAGCCCACAGATCTAAAATATTTACTATCTGGGTGCTGGTAACACCAGGGTCGAGAGTTTGGATTCCCATACTGGCCAGCCACCAAAAAATAAATAAATAGATGAATAAATAAAAATATTTACTATCTGATCTTTAAGGGAAAATTTGCAGATCCCTGGAGGGTAGGAGAAATGAGGAAGGAATTTATTCTTCCATATACAGTCCTTTTGTTAATCTCTGTGTTTTCAGCTCCATTTCTCATTCCCACCCTCCAGTGTGCCTTCCATTTCCAGTCTGTAGTATCCTCTGGGTTCCGTCAGAAGGAATACCTCTGTGGCTGTAGCCCTCTCTAAGCAGATTCCAAGTTATAGCCTCTTTACCAGTTTATCATCTGTATTCCAGAAATGTAAAGAAAACTTCATCTGGCGAAGGACTCCCTCATATTCTTTTTGTTTTTCTGGTAGTATACTTTTCCCCCCTTTACTCTCATTTTTAATATGCTCTTGGGAAGGAGAGGAAAGGGGGAGTCATTATTCTGGCATTTTTATTTATTTTTTAAATTTTTTTATTTTTTTGGCAGCTAGCAGTATGGGAATCTAAACCCTTGACCTTGGTGCTATGAGCACTGCACTCTAACCAACTGAGCTAACCATCCAGCCCTTATTCTGAAATGTTTAACCAGAACCTATATGTAGAGTTTTTTATTTCCCTCTACTTTTTTTTTTTTTTTTTTTTAAAGATGACTAGTAAGGTGATCTTAACCCTTGACTTGGTGTTGTCAGCACCACGCTCACCCAGTGAGCAAACTGGCCATCCCTATATGGGATCCGAACCCGCGGCCTTGGTGTTCTCAGCACCGCACTCTCCCGAGTGAGCCACAGGCCGGCCCCCTCTACTTATTTTTTAAATTTAGTGAGGTACATAAAGTGCACAAATCATATGTACATCTCAAATAAATTTTTAATTATGTGTACACCTGTGTAAATACCACCTAGATCAAGATTTTAAAACATATCACCCCAGAACATTCTTTCATGTTCCTTCTTAGTACTTCCACCATACTCGTATATAGCTGCTGTCTTGACCTCCACCACTGTCGATTAGCTTTCTGTAGACTTTTAACTTGAGTTTACAAAGTCACCTCTTTGGGGATTTCACTTAATCCAGGTTCAAATTTTTAATTTTTAAATTTTCGCTACACTTGTGTAATTTTTAATTTTCGCTATACATATATAAGTGGAAACAAAGTAACTTATATTTTCAGAATAAAGCATGAGGGTTAGAGAGGCCAGTGTGACTGTGGCTGAAGTGAATTCAGTGCCAAGGCAGTTATTCATTCGCAGAAGTAAAGGTCTGACTTGAGAAGCCAACTGCTAGCAAAGCGCTGTAGTCTTCTTTAAAGTTCAGCTAGTTCTTTAAAGTAAGTAAAGGTCTAGTTCTTTCCGGGGTTGGCTTTAGCTCAAGCAGTTACTTCCTCACTGGACTTCCTATCCATCTAGTTCTTTCCATTGTGTTGCATAATTTAATAATTATGCTGTTAGAATCCTTTTTAAAAGTTGACACGTTTATAAATTTCAACATTTGTTCAAGTTTAAAGGTTTTATTTTTGTGACATTATTCATTCATTTTGCCCTGCTTTTGTCTTCAGATCTTTAAGAAATTTTTTTTTCCCCTTTGAAGCAGTAAAAAATTATCTGTTTCCCTTTGAAGCAGTAGCAGCTCTGACTGTGTGTAAGAAGTGTAGCTATACACGATGTGCCATTAATGCACTATTCAAAATAGCGTTTTCACAAGAAATACGCAGAACTGTGTTTTCTGCTAAACTTCTTCTCTGTTGGATTTCTGGTGCGTAATCATAGCAGATGACTCTTAGGTTTTTATTGATATTTATCATCTATTTGGCTTTTCATTATAGTCTCACTGTCAGACCGTAACCCAGCAGACCATTTAAACTAAAACCCTTAATTATAATTCAAATGGATAGGAGTCAAAGAGCAGCTGTTCTTTCATTTTTTTATTTTTTCTGTTATTACAAAAGTTCTATTTACACAGGTACTTCAGGAAGATCATGAAAAGATCCATGTTATCTTTTAATTCTATTTTTCCATGAACTTTTTGAAGTACCCTTGTATTTGTGGTTTTAAAAATGTTAATAAATGTTCTGTGTATTACTCTATATTTTATAATTTAAAAAGAAAGCAAGATATACCAATAAGCTAAAGAAGAAGGGGGAAGTTACCTATAAGCCATCTCACCAACTATAACATTTTGATATATTTCTACCAGTCTTTTCTTCTGTTATCTCTCTCTCTCTAACAAACACACACACACTCACTCACTTACTTTTTTTTTTTTTTAAAGATGACCAGTAAGGGGATCTTAACCCTTAGCTTGGTGTTGTCAGCACCACACTCTCCCAAGTGAGCTAATCAGCCATCCCTATATAGGATCCGAACCCGTGGCCCTGGTGTTATCAGCACCGCACTCTCCCAAGTGAGCCACGGGCCGGCCCTTATATTTTTAAGTAGTATTCAACTCTTCCTCTTTTTCTACTCTTACTGAAAAACTCCATCCAAAAGCCATTAAGTGGGTTCTAGGATGACAGGTATCCTCAGCTTCTGCTGGGCAAGGTGTGGTGGCCCAGAGCAGGCTTCAGAGCACAAGCAGGTAGGAGGTGGGCCATGTAGGAGGGTAGCCCAGTATAGGCTGTGAGGTCCTGAGCAGGGTGAGGAGGGGATCCATGCAGCAGGCGTTGGAGGAAAGCAACTGTAAGTGGGATGTTGGAGTTTGAGCAGGGTCAGAAAGGTCCAAATTGAGGTGGGGGAGGAGGTTAAGGGGGAAAGCAGTGGTGGCAGCTCTGTCGACCAAGGGCCCAAGAATAACTACTCCCCCAAAACAAAGAGCACACCTAGCACCCAGATCTTGGTTTATAAATACTATTCTCCACTAAAAGGAATTGCAACTCTTTAGAGAAATGGCTGATTCCAGAGCTGGTGCACAAAAACACATGAGGAGAGTAGACTATCTTGTGCCTGAAAGCAAAGAAATGCTCCAAGAAGGGTGGGATGTGTCAAAAGGACATAGGGAGACATCTTGAAATTCAGCTGACTCCCACAAGTTAAATGAGGGACAAATAAATAATGGCAGTAATATATTTTAACCCTTTATATTTAAACCCTTTGTTTAAATATACAAACTTAAAGACAAAGTTTGATAAGGAACAGGACATTTACATAGACTCAAAGTACCTCCCTACAAAATACTTACAACAGTGGGGAAAAACTTACGGTGAAGTCTGATAGATCCCACTTTAAGCAATCAAAGTGAACATCCCCATTTTGTGCATCATATACAAAATAATTTAGTTAATATAGAGACCACTGAAAATAACTATGAGGTTTTTTCTGGTTTTTTTTGACGGCTGGCCAGTACAAGGATCCAAATCCTTGACCTTGGGGCTTTGGTGTTATCAGTACCGCGCTCTATCCAAGTGAGCTAACCAGCCAGCCCAATTATGAGTGTTTTGATCATTCTTAAACTCTCTATTTGCATGAATAAGTTAGGACTTTATATCATTTAGTCCTATCATTTTTTAGAAAAAAATTAGTGTTCATATATTCAGCACATTTATTGAGTACCTACTGTGTGCCAGGCCTTCTGCTAGGCAATGAGAAATAAAAATGGAAACAAAACAGACATGGCCCCTGTCCTTGTGAAGCTTAAATTCTAGTGGTAGACACACACACACACACACAAAAACTAAATTGTATGTATAAAATGTTTTGTAACTTTAACTTGATATATTGTGAATGTTTTCCCATGATATTTTTTTTTTCTTTCTTAAAAGATGACCAGTAAGGGGATCTTAACCCTTGACTTGGTGTTGTCAGCACCACGTTCTCCCAAGTGAGCTAACTGGCCATCCCTGTATAGGGATCCGAACCCTCGGCCTTGTGTTATCAGCACTACACTCTCCCAAGTGAGCCACGGGCCGGCCTTTGTTCTCAAATTTTAACAAGCATCAGAATCCGGCCTTGTGTTATCAGCACCACACTCTCCCAAGTGAGCCACGGGCCGGCCTTTGTTCTCAAATTTTAACAAGCATCAGAATCACCTGAAAGACTTGTTAAAACTTAGATTTCTGGGCTCTATGCCCAGAGTTTCTGCTTCAGTAGGTTTGGGGTGAGGCCAGAGAATTTTATTTTCAAACAAGTTGCCAGGTGATACTGATTTTCCTAGTCTGGGGCTCACAACCACTGCTTTGGAGAGTATTTTGTTGAAGGGACTTGATTAAGGTCATATGAACCCATTACTCAAGACTTCTGAGACCTAACCTTAAATTTGTGGACATCTGTCTTATTGTATATAGTAATTTGGTGTCATGGATAGTTTCTTTTTGGAGTCAGAGACCCTGATTTCTTGGTTTTATTTTATTCATACAGGATTAATGCAGTATCAAATGGACAAGTCCGAGGTGATAGTTACAGTGAAGGTTGTCTGGGTCAAACAGGTAAACAGATGTAAACAACATCTTACTATACATGCTTACATCCTCAAAATGAGAATTGTACATGGAAGGGCCACTTGTCTAACTCCCTCAGATCAGGGATAGGACGGAGTTATATCTAGAGCAGAGGTTATAGGTTCCAAGGCATAAAGTAAGTTGCATTTGGTCACAGTTGACTGTATGGTACTGAATACACAGTTTATATAGCCTTGTGCAATAATATGTAGATATAAATGTATACAGGATACAGTGGAGAACAGTATATAATAATACATGTACAAAATAGAATTTATGGTATTATAAACCTTAGCAAATAATTTTCTTCCCTTTTTTGTCAACCTTATTTGGTCAGATTAGCATTTTGAAACAGTTTTTAATTGTGGTAAAATACACATAACACAAAGTTCAACATCTTAGCCATTTTTACCTATACAGTTCAGTATTAAGTATTGAGAATGTATTAAATACATTCACATTATTGTGGAATCAATCTCCAAAAGTCTTTTCGTCATACAAAACTGAATAGAAAATTACAGAGTTTTGGTGCTTGGGCTCACCCATGCCCTTCTTTCTCTACTGGGGACGCTCACTCCTTGAGTTCATGGCTGTGTACCTGAGGTAGGCAGGGTACAGGATATGGGGCCCAACTTCCTGAAAGTCCAGTTTACTCAAAGATTTGAGGGACAGATGTGCTTGTTAAGCAATTTAAATGATAAAGTTAAATATTACATCTATACAAAAAAAAGACAAATTTCAAGTAACTTTTTTTTTTTTAATTTAATGAAACAGGAGGAAAACATTGGTCTACCATAACCTTGTAAACTCTAAAAGAAGGGATGAATGTTAGCAGTTAGTGTTATAATAATAAGCCAGTAATAGCTAGAGCCAAGACTAGAATATGGCCATCACTTCTTTAAATAAAATTTGTTAACTAGCACAGCTTTTGGGGTCCAGAGCCAGTTGTATTTTGTTTTAATATCACATCTGTGAGTAATTGCTTATTATTTTGGAACTATTGTTTTATGTTTTTGGCATGAAATCAGAAATTAATATATAACATTCTATTTGCTGTGCTTTAATGACCTAGGCAGTGTTTTTATGAAAATGTGTTTGTGCTAATTGAGTAAAGAGACTGTCTCAGAATTCATTTTAGGCGGTCTAATGACTCCATTTATTGTTTATAGCAAATCTTTATAAATATATAAATGTGATTTAAAAGTTGATTGTCGGGCTGGCCCGGTGGTGCACTCGGTAGAGTGCGGCGCTTGGGAGCGCGGCGGCGCTCCCGCCGAGGGTTCGGATCCCATATAGAGACCAGTCCGCTCACTGGTTGAGCGCAGTGCGGGCGCAACGCTGAGGGTTGTGATCCCGTTGCCAGTCGCGGTACGGACGCGACACCAAGGGTTGCGATCCCGTTACCAGTCACGAAAAAAGACAAAAAGGAAAAAAAAAAAAGTTGATTGTCCTCCTCTGTTAACATAATTTTAATGCAACTTTCCTAAGTGTCAGCTGCAAATTTGAATTTACTTTGCTGCCTAACTTCTCTGAGAGTGAAATATGGTAGCTTCAAGATTCATATATCACTGAATATGAATTTTTTTAAGTACATCTATGTTATTGTTTGAAAGTACTCATGGAAAACTTTAAGCTTTGGAGCACAGGTTCTAAAACTACATGGAGAATGAACCCCTAAAAATGGTGAACATATTTTATGAGATGTTTTATAGGAAGATTAAGTTTTTCTCAGTGTAGGTAGTTGGAGAAAGTAAATATATGCACTTATACCAATAAATAAAAATAATTTTAAAAAGAATATACAGACCAACCAAGAAGAAAAAGGCCAACATCTGCAGTGATAAAAGATACCTAACATATCTTTTTTGTTCTTATTTTAGACTTTAATGGCAGCTGCATATTTTTCTTCTATTTGGGTTTTTGTTTTCTTTTTGAAAGTTAATTGTACTGACTGCTGCCCTATGAGAAACAATTCTGGTAAAATGTTATTTCTTTTAAGGTGCTCGGATTTGGCTGTTCATTGGTTTCATGTTGGCCTTTGGATCTCTGATTGCATCTATGTGGATTCTCTTTGGAGGTTATGTTGCTAAAGGTAGGAGAATACACAGGTTACATTTTACATCAGTGGAATGATAGAATTTTGCATTAAAGTTAATTATTTTAGAGTAAAACTTTTTCATGTAATTGGGCCAGCTACTAGCTATGCATTTATACCTGGGGACTCCCCTTCCACTGTCTGTTTGGTTTTGTTCATATGATTTGATTTGATTTGATTTTTTATTATTTTTTATTTTGGCCGGTAAGGGGACCTGAACCCCTGACCTTGGTGTTGTCAGCACTGTGATATAACCAAGTGAGTTAACCGGCCAACCCTTGTTTGTATGTTTTTAGTATTCCTTCCTTCTGTATTTTTTCTTCTAATCTACAGCCTGCAAAGGATGGGGCACACCTCCAAACCTTGCTTCTCTTTAGCTTCCAAAAATTTCAAAAGTAGAATATATGTATTCTCTAGCTATTTAGCAAGTTGTGACTTTCAGAATAATATCCATGCAGAGCTCTAACATTCTAGAATTGAAATTTATTCAGTTAAGCCTCCCTGATAATATGATGTTATTTCCTTTTAAATAGAAAAGTAAATTAATATTTAATATGTATATGCTATATAAGGCCAGTTTAAGGAAAGCTCAGGAAAAAGTGTGCTGTTAGATCCCTGGCTAAAATTTCACCTTGAGGGACCCCAGAAAAATATGAAACCAATATAATGTTCCAGGTAAAATTGACTATGCCTGTCATAGTAAGAATACAATGTTAATGGTTTACAAAAACTGGACCAGCCTAGACCGAATTTAGCTCATGTTTTAACTATTTCTTTGAATAGGATGTAACTTTTAAATTAAAATCGTGAGTTTCCTACATTTTTATTAAAATCATTTAAATCTTATAGACAGGAATGATAGGCATTTTTAAATGTTTGTATTTTTTCTTTAGTTTATGTAATTTATTATTAAGCATGTTACCAAAAATGTAGAAAATAGAGAAAAGAAAAAGAAGTTACAATAATCTTACCACATTTAAATATTTTGGTATATTTCCTTTCAGTATCTTTTCTTTTATATAGTTATTATCATAATATAAATACAATTTTGGTCCCTACTTTTTGCATTTAACTTGATATACGTTGTTCTCTTGCTGCTACAAAATCTTTGTCAGCGTTATATTTTAAAAACAAAAAAAATACCTTTTTTATCATGTAAATTGCATAATATTTGTATGTTCTAGAAAAGTGAAAATATAAGAGAACTCAAGAAAATAAATATTGACAATTCTTTCCTGGAAACATCTGTTAATACAGAGCCTCTTTTTATAGGAATGTCTTTTATCTCATAGAATTTTAAGTTATTCTCATAAAGGCTTCTGGAGCAACGTTATGCTTTGAGAATTATTAGCAGTAGATCTGTAATTTTGTAAAGTTGCCTTTATATAACATCTTTATGGTTCATTCTAGTGGTAATGATTATTTAATGTGGAATAGTAGTGAAGGCCTATATAAACCAGCTGTTATGTTAATCAGATTAACTTAAAGCTATTCTGAGATAAGAAAAAGTTGACAATTCATCTGTTCATTATGCCTCGGTTTGTCAATTAATAAGTAATCATTGACAGCTCCAATAGTAGAAATTTATGAGAATTTCAACTTCAATCCCAATACAATCAGAACAAAATGTTCCTCAGACCATCTTTCCCATCTTAGTTAATGGCTACTCTATCCTTCCAGTGTTTAGGCCAAAAACTTCGGTGGTTAAAGCCTGTCAGGGATGACGCCTCTCTTTCTCTCACACCCCACATCCAATCCATCAGCAAATCCTATTGACTCTGCTGTAAAATAAGCACTTTTTACCATCTCCATTGCTACCACCCTGGTTTAGTCCATCACAGTCTCTTGCCTGATTCCAGAAAGAGCCTCCGAATTAGTTTCTCTGTTTCTCCCCTTGCCCCCTTTAAACTGCTCTCACAGCAGAGAGTAGGGATCCTGTTAAAATACATCAGCTCGTGTCACTTTTCTGCTCAAAACCCTCCAATGGCTGCTAATCTCACTGAGAGTGAAAAACAGAGTCCCTGGTCTGACCGCAAGGCTCCTCAGGATCTCTGTTGTCCAGCCTGCTCCTCTCACCTCTCTGACCCGTCTCCTGCTTTTCTCTCTTTGGCCTGCATGGCCATTCCTTGAACACACCAGCATGCTCCCTCCCACCTCAGGGCCTTTGCACTTGCTGCACTTGTGTCAAATGTCATCATTTGCTACATTTCCTGTACTTCTACTTCATGTACTCTCCTTATTATTAGGCATATTGTCTACCTCCATGAGGGCAAAAAAAATTTGTCTCTTTTGTTTACTGCTGTGTCCTCAGCACATTAATAAACAGTGCCAGCACATAATATGCCCTCAGTGCATATTTGTAAAATGAAAGAAGGGAGCTATCATTTACTAAACCAATGCTAGACTCTGTTGTGTGTATTATGTCATTTAATACTGAAGCCAACAATACTTACCAGAAAAATCAATTATTTTAGGCAGGAAATTTGATATTTTACAGTATATTTAAAACTAAATGTTTTGAGATCATAAACCTATGTATTATGTCATTTAATACTGAAGCCAACAATACTTACCAGAAAAATCAATTATAGTAGGCAGGAAATTTGATATTTTACAGTATATTTAAAACTAAATGTTTTGAGATCATAAACCTCTAAATATTACAATTATTTTTACAGAAAAAACCATAGTATACCCTGGAATTGCTGTATTTTTCCAGAATGCCTTCATCTTTTTTGGGTAAGTTGGGTTTGCATTCTTTTTTCTTTTTTTAAAATTATAGTGTCTTTTATGTCATTCACTATATTTAGTTGGTTATTTTACCCCATTTGATGCCCCTCCCCCATTTTATTTTCATAAAATATGAAGAATGAGAAGGATATTTTCAATACATGGGTTGGTTTGCTGCCAACCTTAGGAACATACATTAATTTTTAAAATTGCTACACACACCCTTTAGTGAACAACTGTGATTCATGTAGATTTTGTTACATAATGCTGACAATGTTCATTTTAAACCTAGATCTCTACCAGTTGCTTTTAATGAAAGCCTGCTTAAAACCATTTCTCTTTAAATTTTGGTTTCTAAATAAGTTTTATAGTTCTTCTGTCCTTGGTGTGAGTGAGATTTGAGGTGCAGAGGAAAAGCTCTGATATTTTTTATCCTGATGTAATTACAAATGAAAAGATTACTAAAACCCCTCAAAACCTCAAGACTTTTATCAGTAATCTTTTCTGATGTTCATTCGTTCCTGGAATCTTATGTCTTTCCTTACCCCTACTGCTCCCCCACTAAAAAAACAAAAACAAAATACAACCTCTTTATCCTCTGCATCAGGAATCCTTAATCTCTATTGCATAGGTAGGCTTCTGAAGACAGAGAATCACCAGACATTTCCATCTGCAAGAAATTGGTGTTTCTGCTTGTTTCTGGGAAAAGAAAATCTATGGTTTTCATCAGATTTTCAAAGCCCCTAATTCAAAAAAGGTTAAGCAATTGCTGTATATTCTAGGACTTTTCCTTCCCTGTCCTTTCCCACCCACCTCCAGCTGAGGTGTTAAGGACTTTTCCTTCCCTGTCCTTTTCCACCCACCTCCAGCTGAGGTGTTGTCAGAATAGCTATCCGAATAGTTGTAGCAGATTGTCTTCCATTCTAATTTATAACAGAACAATACTTAGCAACAGCTTAGAAATTACTATTTCGGAAATGAGAATAGATAGATGTCAGTGCCAAGGTAACCATCTGACAGCGTGGGAGAATTTCCAAGATAGGGCATAAGTGACTTCCTGGTTGAATTTTTGTTCTCATTAAAACAAACAAACAAAAAAACACTCCCTCAAGTGGTTACTTTTATAAAGGCCTTTTGAAGCCATTTAAAATTAATCATGAGAACTGTGGACATACTCTTGAGTTATACAACAGTAATTGAAAAGATGAGAAGACAAAATGAAAAAAAGTAGATGCCTTTGAAATGTCTACGTTTATCTTCAATTTCTCTCACACTTACCCCCACATTCGGGCCTTGTTGAATCTGCCTCTGAATTGTCTTAGACTGTTCCCACTTTGTGCATTTCCATTGTTTATGTTCAGTCATTATCAGTTGCCTAAGCAATTCTCATCCTCAATTCTCAAATTCGCATCCTGGCAAGCTTTGGCTTAACAAAGCCTGGCTGCTCCATTCCCTGTCCTGCTCATCTGTTAAGCTATAATCTGGCCATCCTGGACTCTTCCCTATTCTGCTGCACCTCCTTTTTTATGCATATAATTGCCCTCTTGTCCCTCTTAAATTGAAACCTTGATGACAACTGTAGATTCTCCCTTACCTAAACCCTAGGCTGTGAGCTCTGTGAGGGCATGTTCCTGACATGTCAACCTCCTGGGCTTTTCCTGAGGTCCCCCTTTTCCTGAGGTGATTTTTTTTTTTTGTCTTTTTTGAGACCGGCTGCACCGCACTCAGCCAGTGAGCGCTGGGAGCACACCGGTCATCCCTATATAGGATCTGAACCCGCAGCGGGAGCGCTGCTGTGCTCCCAGCGCCGCACTCTCCTGAGTGTGCCACGGGCTCGGCCCGTGAGACGATTTTTTAATGACTGTTTGCTTTTGATGTACTGTTTCCTGTCCTCAAAACATCTTCCTTCATCATCCCACTAGCTCTTTTTTTTTTTTTTTTTTTTTTTTTTTTTTTTTTTTTTCCG